AACGTGCCACCCCGTGCGTGCGCTGGCGCGCGCGCGCGCTCGCGCGTGTGTGTGTGTGTGTGTGTGTGTGTGTGTGTGTGTGTGTGTGTGTGTGTGCGCGCGCGCGCCAGTGCTGAACATTGTCAAGGGACATGCATGTAGGGAGTAGTGTTCACACAGCGAGCAATCGTGGGAAGCGCGGGAAGGGGAATCAAACATGACGGGTGGGGAAAAGGTGGAACGGGTAGCGGTTTGGGGGGGAAGGGGAAGGATGCGGGACGGACGGGGGAGGGGGGGGAGGGAGGGGGGGCAGATGGAGTGGAGGCAAGCTAAGCGAGCTCGCGCCATATCTGACATCCTGCCCCTCCAACCCATCCCATTCCATATCACGGTTCTTCTCGAATCGCCGACGTGTGTCATAGCAGAACTTGATCCCCAACTCTGACCCCATCGTGGTATGCGCAATCAGGAAGGGTAGACATGCATATTAGAGGAGAGGAAGAGAAAGAGGAGGAGGAGGATGAGGAGGAGGAGGGGGAGGAGGAGGAGGAGGGAGGAGGAGGAGAGGAGGAGGAGGAGGAGAAGAAGGATGAGGAGGAGGTGGAGGAGGAGGATGAAGAGGGAGGATGAGGAGGAGGAGGATGCTGATGAGGGGGAGGATGAGGAGGAGGGTGAGGAGGAGTAGGAGGACGAGGAGGAGGAGAAGGAGGGGGATGAGGAAGGGGGGGAGGAGGCGGGCAAGCACGATGATCAGCGGGAAGAAGATGACGGTGAGGAAGGAGTCGGAGGATGATTAACAGCAACAGCAAGAGCAAGCGCAAGAGGAGCCGGGGAGCAGGATGACCAGAGGCACGCGGGGGAGGGGAAAGGATGGGGACGACGGGGAGAAAGAAACACTTGAATCCAGAAGTGGCCCACGCTGGGACGGGAGCGCCATCCTGAACGACGGGGGCAGCGCGGTGATCCAGAGCTGAGGCTCACGCTGCAGCTGGAACGCAGTCGTGGAACGCCGAAAACGTTCCGATGGAGCAGGCGAACTAAACCATCAACTTTTGAAATCCTGCGTATCAGTAACACACTGATAAGGCGGGACGCGCCATGATACTTTTAGCCCGTAGTCGGGGGACAGAGGACAGTCGTATTCATATATACGAAGTGTTGAGTACTTGGGAAGGGGATGGGTGGAGAGGAGAGCAAGGGGAGAGGAGTTGAGGGCGGGAAGGATGGGGGAATGACCCGCGCGGGCAACAAGGGAGAGCCGCTGCGAGCTCCGAGATTCCTTGCTTGGCTGTCAAAGACATCACAACGTCACGTTGCAAAATCATAGGTTACGATGCGGCCATCCCAGCTCAGCTGAGCTCACCGTCATCCTCCACCTCTCTTCATTTCTTTTCTCCAAATGGCCTGCTTGACTGATCCTTCCTCTGCTTTGAAAGGTGCCCGATCCCCTTAGTTTCTCCGCATTATTCTCACTACGTCTCGCTTAGAAATCGTTTCTGAGTGTGCTGGTCGGGATCTGGGAGACATTCGGAGTTCCCCATTGAGGGCAATGATGGCTTTGACAAAGTCAGAACATCTGGCATCAAACTGGAATCGTGCTTGCAGCCAGATTGGCTACAGAGGGTGGGAACGAGGATGCACATTCTGATTTCTGGTGATGGTGTTGATGATGATGCTGATGATGCGGATAAGCGATGATGATGCTGCTGATAATGATGATGATGATGACGACATTGTTGTTGTTGATGATGCTGCTGCTGATGATGATGATGGTGATGATGATGATGATGATGATGATCATGATGTTGATGATGCTTGTGTGATGCTGGTGATGACATGATGGTGACTGGGTGGAGACAGGTGGCGGATGTTGACGACAATGCTGATTGTGACAGTGCGAACGAGGAAGATCGTGAGTGATCTCTCGACGCCTTGGTTTATATTGGCCGCTCCCGCGTCTGTGCAAAGGAGTGCCGGTGCTCTGTGTGACCTGATGCTGCTAGGTAGCGAGAGCGAGGATCAACATAGGCCCTCTTGCTGACACCCTGCCGCCCAACGCCCTCTGGCGGCGCGCAGAAGCCGGTCGGGCGAGTGCGCGCCCTTCTACAAAGGATCCCGCCCCTTGGAAGCCCTCCTGTCTTCTAAGGTGCCTTTTCGGAAGCCTTTGAGAAGGGGCCGATCCCTTCTAGCAAGCCCTCGCCTTTTCCAAACGCCACCCTCCTCACCCTGCCTCCAGCCCCCATCCGCTCAAAACGGGCCCTCCGAACCCTCCCAAGGCTCCTCCAGTTCAATCTTCCGAGTCGCGGCCAGCCTTGGCGACAAAACACTTCAGAAGCGCTCAGAAGCCTCGACGACGACCATAACGATGAACCAACGTCATTGTCGTCGTCGTCGTCGTCGTCGTCGTCGTCGTCGTCGTCGTGCGCGCCGCCAAGCCCGCTCTGCCAGGTAAGCTCTCGTCGCTGACCGCGGCTTTGACATGAGCGACAGCGTCCCGCCCAAGAAGAAGAACCCCTCTGGCCTTCCAGCGACGGAACTTCGGCGCGAAGGAGGCAAGGGCGGGGGGTGGCTCTGCAGGAGGGCAGGGCAGGGAGGTGGAACCACCAGGAGGGCACACGAGGAGGAACAGGGTGGATGAGGGCGCATGCTGATGATGAGGATGATGATGACGAGAACGATGATGATGATGGTGATGAGGAGGATGCGGATGATGATTCTGATGATGATGATGATGATGATGATGATGATGATGATGATGATGATAACGGGGATCATGATGCCCATGATGGCGATGGCAGTGATGATGATGATGACGGCGACGATGAGGATGAGGATGGTAATGATGATGCTGACGATAATGATGGTAAGCGCGATGATAGCGATGCTGATGCTGCTGATGACGATAATAATGATGATGGTGGTGATGATGATGCTGATGATGATGACGGTGATGATGAGGATTATGATGATGTAGATGATAATGCTGCTGCTGATGCTGATGCTGACGCTGCAGATCATGATGATGATGATGATGATGATGATGATGATGATTTGATGCTGATGACGGTGATGATGATGATGACGATGACGATAGCGATGATGATGCTGCTGCTGATAATGATGATGATGATGACATTGTTGTTGATGATGCTGCTGCTGATGATGATGAGGATGAGGATGAGGATGAGGATGATGGTGGTGGTGGTGGTGATGGTGATGGTGATGGTGATGATGATGATGATGATGATGATGATGCTGATGATGATGATGATGATGATGATGATGATGATGATGATGATGATGATGATGATGATGATGATGATGATGATGATGATGATGATGATGATGCGGAGGCCTCATGCGTGGCCGCCTATTCGCGGGGGGCATCAGAACATGACGGACAACGTGCGCGGCCCCGCGACGACCGGGTTAGACTCGCCTTGGTACACCCCGGGGGGGGAGAGGAAGTAGAGCGAGACAGCAATCTTCCCCCGCTCCAGCTCCGCCCTGACCCTGGTTCGCTGCAGGGTGGGCAATGGCATGACCCATGGCCCAGCCACAAGGATGAGAACGGGCTGATCGGGGTGCCAGACAAGGACCCTGCGGTCGGACCCCTTGCATGACCTACCGTCCAAGGCCACATAAACACACGGCGCACGTGCGAGAATCGGCGAGCCATTCCCAAGGAACGCGAGCCATTCCCAAGGGGGGCGAGACAACCCAACCTTGCCAAGAACGTGCCCCCTCCGATTCCGAAGAGCGGTTTCCAGAGGTCCCTTGAGGTCCCCAGATGCCTCTGGAGGCCTTTGGAGGCTTCGGGGAGCCCAAATACGTCTACAAGCCTATACCCTCCTCCTCCTTCTCCTCCTCCACTCCCTCTCCTTATAAATAACTTTTCCCCGTTGCACCCCAAGGCCAATTTTTGGGGCGGGCCGGGCGTTTCGCCTGAGACTTCCTCACCACTTGTGCCCCTGAAGCTTAAACATTGGCAACAGCTTCACAGATGGAGGGCGGGTCGTTTTCAAAATGTGGCTCTCGCCTTAGCACCGCGCACATTCGTTGTAAACTTTTGCAAGAGTTTCACGGATTGTGAGGGGCACCCGATTTTCAAATGTAGCTCTCGCCTTCGCGCCGTGCACATTAGTGACAAACGATTGCAAGAGTTTCACGGATTCAAGGCGGGCCGTTTTCACAATGTGGCTCTCGCCTTAGCGCCGCGCTCATAGGTTTTAAACGTTCGCAAGAGTTTCACGGATTGAAGGCGGGTCGTTTTCAAAATGTGGCTCTCTCCTTAGCGCCGCGCACATTCGTCTTAAACACTTGCAAGAGCTTCATGGGTTGAGGGCGGCCCCTTTTTAAAATGTGGCTCTCGCCCCACCGCCGCGCACATTCGTTTTGAAACATTGCGGGGTTTCGCGGATTTCCATGATCAACGTGCCAGAAATGGTGTTTTGGAAGGATTCAGGATTATGTGGGTGCAACAATTGCGTTGATTCGCGGTGTTGAAATCCCAGGAATGGCGTTCTGGCACGTTTCAGGTTCGGCAACACGCAACAATCAAGTTTGTCCGTGGCGGTGAAATCCCGAGAGCAATGTTTTGGCATGCTTCCGGGTCTTCAAACGGTTGATATTCAACGAGGCAGTTCCCTAAGTGGAAATGAAGCCTTGTAGGGGCATATGAAGAGGGAGCTTGGAGGAAGGGTTTATTCCAACATCGTTGATGACTCTTGGGTTGCTACTGGTCCTCCTCCTCCTCCTCCTCCTCCTCCTCCTCCTACTCTGCCCTCCTCCTCCTCCCTCCATCCCTCCTCGTTGTCGCACCACCAGGAGTGTCGTTAGGTGGTCTGGGTGTTTCGCTGGATACTTCCTCGCAGTTCTTCGAGCATGAAATATTCAACAGCTGCACGGATGGAGAGCGGGTCGTTTTCAAACTGGGGCTCTCGCCCTGGCGCCGCCCACAGTCGTACTAAACAAAACCAACTGTTACACTGATGGAGGGTGGGCCGTTTTAGAAGAGGGCTCTCGCCTTGACGCCGCGCACACTCGTCTTAGCATTAGGTCGGGCATGTACCCCTACAGAAGGGCTTTGGACGAAAAGTAAAACATAGTCAGAAAATATGCAACAATGGTCAAACATACAAGAAACATCGTCCCAGACAATGATTTGACTACTTTTGAATATTTCTCCTGTAGAGGGACATGCCCGACTTCATCTTATCAGCATCCAACAATTGCACGGATGGAGGACCGCTCCTTTTCAAAATTGGGGCCCGGGCCTGAGACTTCGTTGCGTGTTACTGCCCGACATCTATCAGTGTGCAAAAGTTACACGGATGCGGGGCGGTTCCTCCTCAAAGCGGGGCTGTCGCTGGATACTTCCCTGAACTTTTTGACCCCGCCTTCTTCCGCCAGACTTGCGGGCCGTGGGGCCCCGTACCCCAGGGGCCACGGGTACGCTTCGCGCAATGAAACGTACGAGATACTTGCGAGGACTGACAAGGGGACAGTAGATGGACAATATATTCGAACCCTTACACATTCGAGGGAGATTCTGAATCACCCCCGAGCCCCCGACATCAATGTTGATCTCAGTACAGGCGGTGCTCTGGGGTTCGAATAGTTTTGTCCACTCACGCCCCCCCCCCGTCGCCACGCCATCAATATTGATTTCGGGGGCTCTGGGGGGGCATCTTGGGCCGTAGGGTTCGAATACAATGTCCATGCACGGGAGGGGACTTGGGGACGGGAGGGTGCGTTGCAGCATCGGGGGCGGGGGCCGACGGCCCGGCCCCAATGGGCGGCGTCACCTGGCTGCCCCGAGCTGGGGAGCTGCCGGGCCTCATGGCCCGGGGGCCGCCCGGCACAGCGGGGCCCTGACAGTCACCCCTCCAGCGCTCCCCCCCTGCCCCCCTCCCTCCTCCCCCTCCCTCCTCTTCCCCCTCCCCTCCTCTTCCCCCCTCCCTCCTCTTCCCCCTCCCCCTCCTCCCTCTCCTCCTCCTCCTCCTCCTCCCTCCTCCTCCTCCTCCTCCTCCTCCTCCTCCTCCTGCTCCTCCCCCCCCCCCTCCTCCTTCCTCCTCCTCCTCCTCTCTCCTCCTCCTCCTCCTCCTCCTCCTCCTCCTCCTCCTCCTCCTCCTCCTCCTCCTTCTCCTTCTCCTGAAACACATGCGGCTCGAAGCTCACCCGTAGATTTTGGCTATGCGAGGGGCCTCCAGCCACGTTCAGTGCCTTCTCGCGGCGATCGGGGGGCTCCGAATTCTGCCGCGGATGTTGGTGCAGCAGCGGTCGGATGGCTAAACTGGACGACGTGTTGAAGGCTCCTGGACGTCTTCATCGGCTCCCCGTTGACTCAAGGTTCACTTTGGTGGCGGTACTGCGTTGGAAAATCTTGCGGGGTGCTGATGCTGTTTTGCGGGGTCCTCTACTACGCAGTGGGCTTGTGGGCTGAGCCTGGCCAGGGCAAGGCAGACGTGTTCACTGTTTCGGCTGAGCCTGGCCAGCGCAAGGCAGGCGCATACTTCTTTGCTTGTGGTCGGGTTGAGCTCAATGTTGTGTCATGTCTTACGCGTGCTGCGACGGTTCGCTTCGTATCAGCGGCTCTTGGGCGCCTGACTTCGGGGCAGTTCATCCTTGGGCTCGTGAGCCTTGCCATGCTGTCGTGTGGCGCACCAACGCAACGTGGTGGCCCTTGTTTTACACACGTCACGCTGCCTGAATCCATGCCCGTTGATGCCTCCGTCAAGCAGCCGTTTCCCTTCGGCAATCTATTGTTTACACGTTGTTTGCTCTTGTCACCCACTTGAGGTCCACCGTCATGCCAACGCACCAACTTCGGTGATCGTCAACGCACTGTGGATTCGGTGGGGGTCCCTTCGTTCGCTGCGCGGGTGGCCGTTTCCGCTGGGCTGGTATTCGCGGGATGCGGTGGGCGTGCAGTGCTTGGCTGCTTGGCTGAATACATCACATCTTAACCTATCTGGGTTCATATGGCTGTCAACGCAGCAGCCAGCGTCCATTTCGTTCCATCGGGCGTCACTTCGGCGGGGAGGCGCGCGAGCTTCAAGGTGCTCATGTGAGGCGGGCAGGCGCTGCTTTCCTTCAGAGGGAATTCGAGCTATTGTGTCAACCCCCAGTTCACAGCAAATCTGGGCTCGAAAGACGGGGTCAAATTATGGATACAGCCCCATTCGGACACTTATTAGGACCCTTCCCCAGCTCCGCTGCCCAGGAAGGGTAATTCTCAGTATTGCTCAAATCTAACCTTCCCCACGCCACGTTGGCTGGGGGTGGGCTTGACAAAAAACTCGAGTCGTTGAAAAGGGAACGAGTTTCCTGATAGCTGGCGGCGGCCCCCAAGGGGTGGGCTCAAGAAAAACCGCAGGTGGGTGAAGGACGAACGGCCTTCCCGAAATTGGCGGCGGCCCCCTGGGTGGGGCACTAAATCAGCACAACTTCCCCGATGCAGGTTCGCCAGGAAGAATGGATCGGGGCGACAACGACGACGACGAGCTCCATATGTTCCAT